GGGCGCGCGCACGCAGGGCGTGCGACTGGTGGTGCTTGCGTGCGAGTGGCCTCTCGATAGGCTTGTCCTTGAAATGGGGCCACTTGCTTTACCTCTTTTCTTCTCCACGCTTCCTCTTGATCCGAGTGGGTTCTTCATTGGCCTTCAAAATAGTAAAAATTTGTTGATGTGTCCAATGAAGTCTCCTTCGTTTGGGGGGTCTTTCCTCAAGTTCTTCCTTGTTGGTGTAGATGTCATTTTGGAGTGTTGGGTCAAATATGATCACATTAATATGGATAGGGTTAGGGACCTTATCTTAAAGACACTGTTGATACAGTTCACCTTGTAACTGTTACAAATGGCCATATCTAGATCGTTCATGTGATGTTGGGCATTTGCTTAATAGCTCTAGGGTAGAGTGCAAGTGCACATTGTCACAAGTAATAATATGGAAATATTCCATGTTCGTCTCCACAGGGACTAGTTTTATTTTAAAATCAATTTGCAAACCGCTTGAATGAGCAATCGGGTTGAGGATAAAAATAGGTGAAACTTTTGGGAACAAAGTTTAAAAACTCAAGGATAACAAAATTTAAAAAACCAACCCCCCTACTACTGTTTAGTTCTGAAAAGATGAATTACATCTACCAAATGCGCTAAACATATTTTCGCTCATTTTATGCAAAATGGTTCAACTCCTATTCCAACCGCTTTTGGTTTGTTTAGAAGCTTAGGCTAGCATTTACATATGTCATGAAACACTATAATCCTAAATTAAGCAAACTCCAACTTACGTTTAACGGGTAAGAGATCCTATGTCTAAGATCTTGTTTTAGTTCTTATATCTAAGTAACTTCCCATTTTACCTTGATGAAATCCGTTTAAGTCTAATCTTTTCAGAATTAAATTCAAACTATTGTGATTTAAATAAGTGGATCAACTGGGTAAATTAAATCAATCAAGATAAGCAAAAGAAGCGTAATACGRCGTGCTCACTGATAGATGTAATTTAAAATAAGATGAACTAAAACATTGGTAGGAGGGTTGAAAAATTAATTTAGCTACTCATGAAAAAAATGAAATTGCAAGAGAAATTAACAAAAGACTTCATTTTTATTAAGCTTGGATAAGAGTATAAAATTAGAACAAATTGAATTGCATTAAAACAAACAATAAACAATTACTAAAAAATAATTAAAGAGATAAACAAAGATTCATGCTGGAAGTGAAAACAAAATTCTATAAAAACTTATAACGGAAAAACCCAAGTGGAAGTGTGTTGTGAATGATCTTAAAGGCTTGCATTTATAGACTTGGAGTTTGCATGTTGTTGAGAATTTCATGGGAAGTTGGTATAACTTTGTTGGAGAGATCTTTGGGGTGTTAAACAAAATCCTGGACCAACCACTCTTAACCTCATCTTGCATGATCTTAGGAAGAATAGAGTGGAAGCTTGATTCTCCCAAATCGCTTGGTCAAATTAAGCTAAAACGCGCGTTTTGACAATCTGGGCAAGGAATGCGTCTGGGGTATTTTGGATGCAGTACGATATTTCAGCAGAATGTGGTGAAAATTTGGGAATGTTATGCGTCTGGCGCATTTTGCTCACTTTTTTCTACAAAACAACCATATTTGAATCAATTATCTTGTATTCACCTACGTTACAACGCCTGAGTCTTTAATCACAGAATATGCACATTTTTGCTATGTTATATGCATGATCATACATTTTTCATCCTAAATACCCCTCAAATAAGCCTGACAACATGTACATTTTAGCCTTTAATCAAGGCTCATTAGATGACATATGAGTGGATGTATCGTATGCAATGAGGGATTACATAAGACTGGACCACGATGTGTCTTGAATTTTCTAATAAGATCGTTAAAGAAACTGCATACACATTAATATTGATGATCATAGGTTCATTTGATCTTAATCCTGATGGAACTTTAGACATGCACAGCAGAAGCTAATGATCATAATACACTTAATGAAGCAATTTGACTCATGGAAGTTCTTTATATAGGGTAGGCTGACTATATGTCTTTTTCTTTCACAAAAGGCATTGGGTAATGATGAGCATATGTCATTTTCAATGAGTTTTTTAAGTTTGGTAATTCGTTCTTGGATGTTGGGATTGTTTAATTGTTCCTCAATTCTTTTGTGGATTATTTCTTCCTTTAAGAATTGTATCTGTTGGGTCTTTCTTTTAATTAGATTAATACTTCTAAATATTGAGGAATTCTGAACAGAATGTATAGTCTTTGTTGACACTGGATTTAGGAATCTAAAGATAATTTCTTGATTAAGGATCTTTGAGGTTATTCCTTTTTCGCTAACGGAAAAGGGATAGAGTTGAGCTAAGAAGGGATTTCCTAATATTATTTCTTCATCTAAATCTTTGACAAGAATAAAGGTATTCTTGAAGCAATATCCTTGATTGCAGATATGGGCATTAGAGAGTTTGTATTTGATATTTAGTCGTTGTCCATTCGCTCCATGAAGTCGTTCGGAGGTTTTTTCGAAATATTTTGTTGGGATTAATCCTTCTCGGATACAATTTTGATCGGCTCCTGAGTCGATCAATACTTTCAAGGTTAAATGATATTCTTTGCGTATAATGAGATTAATGATGGAGTACCATTTTTGTAGGTGTATCTTATTTGATAAAAGATTCGTCATTTATCTTATTGTCTATCTCAATATTTCCAAGTGTTTCATAATTAGAGCTCGAAGGTTGGTCATGTATTTGCTGAGCTTGTAGAGTTAATAGTTCAAAACGCATTTGAGAAATTTCTTTTTTAGCATTAGAAATTTCTTCTTTTAAGAGATTAACTTCTCTTTGGAGATCTTGAAGGGTTATAGCTTTGGTTTTGGGTTCAAAAAGTGAGAATATTTCATTAAGGTTATAATGTTCTATATTTTTGGCTTTGTTTTCATTGGTTAGTAAATCCTTTAATTTCAAGAGATATTCTTTTTTGATTTATGGGTCGTCTATTTGTTCTATAAGGTCTAAAAGGAATTCTTGATCTCTTGTTATAACATTAATTGTTTGTTTACAGGTACAGGGTTCAATTTGATTCCCTCATGATGATTCTTCAGAGGAGCTTTCTTCGGAATAGTCTTGGATTTCAAATACTTGATCATAAGAAGATTCTTCATCATAATCAGAGGATGAGTCTGTTAATATATTTAATAGTTGATGCTTCAGTTCTTCGTCTATTTCAAGGTTATTGATTTTCCCTTTGTAGGACAATTTGAGGCAATATGTCCTTTTATTTTGCACTTGTAGCAAATTATTTCTTTTCGTTTCTTGGTATTTTTGAAGGATTTACCCTTTCGTTTTGGGGGTGATTTATAATATTGTTTCGGGTTGTATTGGTAATATCTAGGTTTCTTATAAGGAGTTTTATAAGAGGTTTGATAAGCCTTGATTAAAGGCTAAAAATGATAGGTTTGTATGCTTAGTTCGAAGTTAATTATGATGAAAAATGTATGTTCAAGCATATAATTTAGGGAAAATGTGCATAATTTGTGATTAGGGTCTTTGGAATTCAGTTAAAGCTAAATGAAGGCTAATTTGTGTAAATATGCTTATTTTGTAAGGAAAAGTGAAAATTGATGATCAAAATGCATCAGGCACATTGCAGGACCAGCTTACTAGAGGAATGAGCCAGACAAGTTACTTTGAAAGTTCCAACTTCACAATGCTTCAGCCACATTCGATGCCTATATTGTCAAAACGGGAATAACAACTTTTGACCAAGTAATTGGTCCAAGATTTGTTATTAGTTCTTAAAATCTCTACAACTTCATTTGGTTCCAACCTCCCATGTATTTCTCAACATCTTGTTACCTCCATGACCTATAAAAGGAGCTCCCAAGCATCACTTCAAGACATCTAATTTTTCATGCTTTGTTTTTTCTTTCTAATTCTTATCAACTTTAGCTTCTAAGTTTTAATTCCAGTTTTTAAGTTTTATTCTTCCTTTATTGTTTTTAAAATTATTTTTGTTTATTTTTCTATTTTGTCTAAGTTTGTACTTTCCTTTCCATTTTAATGAAAATGCATCCCTTTGTTACCTTCTCTTGTTTTGTCGTTTATTTTACTTCCATGAGTAGCTAAATTATTTCTTCAACCCTCCTACGAATGCTTTAGTTCTCATCACTATAAATTACATCTATCAATGAGCACGGCGTATTACGCTCTCTTTACTTATCTTGATTGATACAATTTATCTAGTTGATTTTTCTTGTTGGCCACTTGTTTAAATCACACTAGTTTGAATTTAATTCTGAGAAGGTTAGAGTCAAATGGATCTCATCAAGGTAAAACGGGAAGTTACTTAGAAATAAGAACAAACAAGATCCTAGACATAGGCTCTCTTACCCGTTAAACGTAAGTTGACACTTGATTTATTTAGGATTCTAGAGTTGCATGGACATATGTAAACATTAGCCTAAGCTTCTAAACAAACCAAAAGCGGTATGGAATAGGAGTTGAACCAGTTTGCATAAATTGAGTGTAATTACGGGCACATTTGGTAGGTGTAATTCATCATTTTAGAACTAAACAGTAGTAGGGGGGTTGGCATTTTAAATTCTATTATTTTTGTGTGTTTTTCGTGTTCAACCAATCTCACCAATTTTTATCACAAACCTAATTGCTCATTCCAATAATTTGCAAAATTAATTTTAAAAGAAAACTGTCCCTATGGAGACGAACTTGAAATATTTCCAGATTATTACTTGTGACAGTGTGCACTTTCACTTAACCTCGAGCTATTAAGCTGAGGCACAACAAGCTTCGTCTATAATTTTTATTATTCTTGTAGTTTTTATATTTCTTTTGTGCGAGGGGGCTTGAATTTTCTCATAACCATATTGAGCACAAAAGGATCCTAATTCTTGCCTTTGTTTAGAACTTTCATTTTTCATCTTAGCGTTAAGTTTGAGGTCTGTACATAAGGCAAGTCCTTCATTATTAATGAAGTTAATTATTTCGCCATATGTTAAGGTTTCAAATTGTATGGTTCCTTGATAAGTTTGTCTAATGGTTTGCCGTACCTTTTCGGCAAATAATTTTGGTAATCCGGAAAGGAATTTTTCTTTCCAATAAGGATGATTACAATCTGTTCCTGTAAAGACTTTGTTGAGAAATACATCTTTGTACCATCTAAAATCTTGCAGTTTTGGACATGTAAGATTTGTGAGGATTTCAGAAGTCCTTTCCTGAAATCTAACAGGTTCACCTATAAAACTTTTGGTGATTGTATATATTAGCGTTGCAACAGCATCTTGAGTTTGACTTATTTGAGATCCATCTTGCTCAACTTTGATGGCCGTTAGTATTCTTATTTTGTCATCTTGGGATACACAATTATCCCACCATCCTTTGAGTTGTCTAGTAAATCCAGAGGCTAAAATTTTTGCAATTTGATGATCAGTATTTTGATGAATCTTGTAGGCAGTAGCTGCCAAGGTCATTTCTTGCATTGTGTTTAAAATTTGATGTTCAGTCATACCATCTATATTCCATTCATAGATGCCGCTTCCGGTGTATTGAGCTTGCGTTAAATCAAATCTTTCCTCGTATTGCATGTAAGGAAAAGAGGGTCTAGGATAATAATTTTTTAATTTAGCATGTCTTTGATTTCCTATTTTTTGGAGGGTAATATTACTAAATTGCTCTTCCATGTCGGTTATTGTTTCATCAGGATTCTCTGTTATTGTATTGACTTTAGAGGTTGATGGGGTAGAATGTATGGTTAAATTCTGCAATTGTAAATTGATTTTGTTTAGGATTTTGTTTGAATCTGAACTCGAAAAGTGTATTGCCTTCAGATCTTGATTAGAAATTTCAAAGGGTTTAAACAAAGGTTTTGTTTGATCTACTGGTTGAAGTTGTTCTTTGGAGTAAAATGGTTGAGGAATAGGTCTTCCTAGAAAGATGTACTTGGTTGTTCAGGATTTTGGGAGGAGATAAAAGTTGAGATTCTAGAAGGAGAAGGTGCATATTGAGTGAACGATCCTGGTTCTGAGTTTGAGGATTCAACTCTAGTGCATTGAAGATCTACACTTCCATCGCTATGTTCAATTACTTGAAGTACCTTTTGTGGTTCGAAAAGTGTATTGCCTTCAGATCTTGATTAGAAATTTCAAAGGGTTTAAACAAAGGTTTTGTTTGATCTACTGGTTGAAGTTGTTCTTTGGAGTAAAATGGTTGAGGAATAGGTCTTCCTAGAAAGATGTACTTGGTTGTTCAGGATTTTGGGAGGAGATAAAAGTTGAGATTCTAGAAGGAGAAGGTGCATATTGAGTGAACGATCCTGGTTCTGAGTTTGAGGATTCAACTCTAGTGCATTGAAGATCTACACTTCCATCGCTATGTTCAATTACTTGAAGTACCTTTTGTGGTTCTTCGACTTTAGGTTCGAAGGCGTTTTGAAGGTTCCATTTAGGATTTTGCGTAATCTGATTCCAATTGAGCAATCTTGGTATAAAGGCTTAATAAAATTTATCATTAACTTCTATAAGTAGAGTTTGATTTCTTGGAGAAGATTTTAATGCTTTGGGTGAAAGATGAGTATGCATTAATTTATAATGAAGTCTGAATATAATAAGAATTGGTTCAACTTCTAATTCTGTTATAAGGTTTTGAACTTTGATATTCAGCATCAAAGAAAATATTACGTGTGGGTCGCTTAGAGAGACTAAGAAATTTGGATAGCAATTAAAATATATCAGGCCTTGTTCAAGGTTTGATTCTACAATAGTTAGGATTGAGTTTCCAAAATCTAAATGACGTTTGTCACGTAGCATAAGAACTATTGGAACATCCAAACCTATTCTTTGTAAAGGTTTGACTGCTACCTGGATAAGTCCAATATGAATAAATTTATATTTCTCTCAATAATCTCTTATGGATTGTCTAGAGAACATATAAATAGTTTCTTTATTTTTGTGAATTGGAACAGTTTGTTCAGAGATTTTTATACTGTAATATTGCATAAAGTCAAATTTTCCTATTTGATATATCGTCTTGGTATCTATGTTTGGTAATGACTAGTTGTGAAGGTTATTTTCAACACAAGCTATTTGAGTTTCTTGACTATTCATAACCTTGATATTAGTATTATCCATATAATCTTCATAAATTTATTCTCCTTTTTTTTGTATTATTTTGAGGTTTAGAAAACAATTTACGAAGTAGATTAGACATTAAGAAATTTTAAAAGTATAGACAAAGTCTTAATCTTTCTTCTGATATTTTAACAGGCTTGTAATTCTTATCGCTAGGATTTCTACAACACGGGAACACCGAGCTTACCAACGGTCTTACGATTCTTCTGCCAGGAACACAAGGTTTACCAACACTTTATTCAGTAGAAATGAAAGCAATTTTGAATTGCAAGGTCTATTAAAATTCAGGAGTAGGAAAAAGAGTTCGGCTATTGATCTAAAAGTGCTCAAGATCTACTACTATTATGATATCCACTTCCCTACCAGGTTTGAATGGATGGTTCTGATACCAACTAGAACGAGATTATGAGATCAAGTATACTATCTAAAGTTATGAAGGTTTGTTAGTCTATGACACAATGTTGAAACGAAATTAAAGTATGGAGAATGGAAACAAATGAAACATCATAATCATGTGTAATATAATAACTAGGTGGCATGGGAATTTGAAAAAGTGTGTGGTGGTAAGAAGGCATGCTAAAATGCTTTTGATTGGCAAATAAAGAGGCAAAATTAAAACTTACTTGTAGAAAGAAGACAAAAGTTGGGAAAAGATTATTTTATTCAAACGGTGAGCACTATTCCCTTTTTTACAATATCACTCGCTTTCTAAAACTCTACCCTCTATGTTCAACTACAGGCCTCCTTTATAGTACTGTAGGAAGCGTTTAAGTACAACACGTGGACAACAACAAAAGTAAATTACAACACGTGGACAGAAACTAAAAACGTAAGATGCTAGGTGTCGACTTACTAGGACTATATCTGACACCTTTACAAAACTAAAACATATAACAAACTAGGTGTCAAGTTATTAAGGCTACCTTTGACACCTTTACAAAACGACAAACTACATATTGATAGGGTTTTGTTAATGAAGCTCCCAAGGTTGATTGGGATTTTGTCTTGATCGGTTGATTGGAATCTTTGTTTTATTATCTTGGTGCTTGTGAATAGATGTGGTTCATGAAGTTGGCAAATTCATTGTCATCATCTTGATCTTCATCATCGTCATCTTTTTTATAGTTGTTTGGAGAAGACATTTGTTGAATGATATCAGACAGTTCTTAATCGTTTGCAACTCGTGCCATGGCCGTAATGAGTCTTGATCTTTGAGCAAGGAATTTTTGATTTTGCTGGACATTTTCTTTTTGATTGTGCGGGTAGATAGAGAACCATTTTTCGACTACCTGTTTTGAGGCGATCGCCGTATTGAATTTGTCCCACCATTTGATTTTGTAGATGCGGTGAAGACAAGATATTCCATTGGATTCTATAATTGAATAATCCCAGCAGAATATCCAAACTAAAAGAAAATAATTTGAAAATCGCAAGAGAGTATTGAATGAATTTGTAAAAACATTATTTGAGAAGTACTTGAAACTTTGTGAAATTGGAGAAGGTAGAATAGTCTGGTTAAGGCCGAAAATATTCCACCAGTCATTGAACCATAATGGGAAGTGTTGAACACAAGTTTTGTAAAAGATAATAAACTAGGAATGATTGTAATTATTTAACCAAAAGATATTGTACCAAGCATTTTGATAATCAATGTATGAATAGGTATTGGGAAAGAAGGTATGGGTAAACTTCTTTTCGATGTAAATATTTTGATTCCATTTTGTGGGGGTTAACACACGGAGGATTTTGACTTTTGAAAAGGCGATTCTATTTGGATGAGTTTTGTCCTTGGTATGGGTTAATTCAATAGAATCTGTTTCTATGAGTATATGTTCATAGAATCATCGAGTTTTGAGAATTTGGTCTGGAATGAAATGAAAGTTGGAAGGAAAGGTCCTTTGGATAATTTCGGAAATAGAAGTATCTCAATATTCTGGTTCAAGAGTGGTTATGAACGAGGTTTGAGATTTTGAAAGATAATTATGAGTTCTTGATGGTATAATTTCAGAATTTTGAGGGCTAGATCCAGTAACTTCTTGGATATAGGTTGATGGTGATGATGTAGGCCAAGGTGAGGAGGTCGATGACTCTCCTATAATTATGGGTTTTGAAGGAGTAGAAGGGGTCGATGACCCAATTTGCAAGGCTGAATGCCTTGGTGGGATAGAAGATCCCAAAATTTGAAATCTATTTGATGTTGATATTGCATTACCTTGTTGGGAGGATTCTTGTTGAGGTGGTTTCTCTTTTCTTCTTGGTGTTGAGGTTTCTCCTTCGAAAAAGTGATAAGCTTGAGAGTAGGAGGCTTTTGTTTGTGGTTTTGGTCGCAATCTTCTTCATTTGCTCTCCTTGGGGGACTAATTTTTCTCAAATTTGCCTTGTAGAAATTCTCTTGGAGATAATCAGGAAGGGAGTTTGTGCTTCCTTTTATAGATTCAAGTTTGAAATCAAAACATGAAAGAATTGCTTGCCACCTAGCAAATATTTATCGTGAAACCAAATTTTTGACATCTTTTTGTAAAACATCTGTGGCTGCTTTGCAATCGACACGTATTAAAAAACTATTGTTGATAAGATCACTTTGAAAAATTTGTTTATGCATAAAATGATTGATAAAATTTCTTTTTTGATAGTAGAATAATTTTTTTTGTTGAAATAATTTGATTTTTGGGAGAGATACGACTAAACTCTCCATTAATAATGGTTTATTCTATTACATTCCATTCATAATGGCCAAATGGTTTAGTAGTATCTCTCCCTAAAAGTAATGGTCCATTTGGGCTTAAAATTGTTGAGCTTTCACAAATGTGAAAATACCCAACATATATAATATAAATATTAATAATTATTGAATCAGACTTTTGGTCCAACCCTCACGATAGATCAAAATACAGCTCAAATGGGTTGCCCTATAGTCGACCCAATTAAAAAAATAAAGATTCATATCCAATCCAATTGATGGAAGAACTAGGCTAGGCTAGGCCTGTCAAACGTTGTAGATCAAGCTTAAATTGGGTCTGGGCAGGGCTTAGGCCTTTGGGCTTCAAGCCGATTGATGAGGCGATACCCAATATATACTCCATAATATACCCAAAAATGTACTCCATAAGATTTGGGGTTTGTTCATCATTCACAATGCTAAACCAAGAAATTAAATACAAATGACCCTCAAATTTAGGCTTCGGGGTTGCCAATTTGATTGTCAGAGGAGTTAGGGGTGGTGTTCAAAAAATCTGACAATCCGACGGGGTTGGGTTAGGTTAGATTAAACCTTGGGTTGGGTTGGGTTGGAAAATTTCCAACTCGACCGGGTCGGGTCGAGTCTCGAGTTGGCCCTTCAAAATGTCGGGGGACAACCTGAAATAATGCTTTATATATTTTTTTAATTTATATATATATATATATATATAATTAATACCTTTACATTTATCTTCAATCTCATCCTTCCGTTGAGTTTTAATTTCGAACCCTCCATTTAACATTTAGGGTTTTCTCATCTTCCTCTCCTCCCCCATTTTGATTTTAGATCTTTTTCCTCTAATCTCTCCTCCATTGTTGTCCGCCCAATCTCTCTCCATTATTGTCCACCCAAGCTCTCTCTTCCATTGTTGTCCACTCAAGCTCCCCGTTGCACCGTCGTCACCCTGCCTCCCATTGCATCCATCACCGACCAGTCACCCACTACCCACCGCCTGCTGCACCGTTGCCACCCCACCGCCCATTTTTGAAGTGGGTACATTGAGTGTGGTTGGTAGGTAAGTTTCAGAATTGATGTCGTGGATGGATGTGGAAGTTCGTTTGCTTCTTGGGTTATATTTTTTAGCTTTGGTTTTTTTTTTTTTTTGAAATAGTCATTACTAAAACGATTTTGATTCTTAGTTTAGTTTCTATTTATGGGTTTTGATTCTTAGATTGTGACTCTTAATTTAGTTTTTGTTTACTCTTTATGCTTTAAATTAGAAAGCATATTTGTTTTCTTCTTTTAGTTTATGTTTATGGATTTTGATTTTTAGATTTCGACTCTTATTTTAGGATCTACTTTTTTTTTTGTTTCTTTTGCTTTATATTTCTATCACATGTTTTTTAACTATTAAAAAGAATAACCCAACAACCCAACCCAACCCAACCCAAAAATTTTGGGTTGGGTTGCCATCAATTTCAACTCGCCAGTTCCTGCATATGGCCAACCTGAAAATTTAGGTTGGTCCTAAAAACACCCCCAAACCTAACCCAACCCAACCCGCGAACACCCTAGAAGGAGTTCGTTGAGGGAGTTGCACTGTTGTCTGAGTTTGAGTGCCACAAATCCAGCTCGTCAGAGAAGAGCCACATATCTGAGTCGTACACCGCATCTTTGTTGCAAGTCTTGCTATCGGAATTTACAGATTGCCGTTAGGTTTGTTCGTGCAGGTCTTGGGTATTGCCGTGCTGCAGATCGCCAATTGTCATCGAATTAGTGAATCGGCCGTTGGTTCTTGCTGCAAGTCGCTAGCCGCTGCTGAAATGCGAAGGACGTACTGTTAGCTGACCAAGGGTCGCCAAAAGATGTTGTTCATCGCTGAAGCAAATGTGGCTGAAGACCAAAATACCAAAGAGGGACGTATGACTAAGGTGAGAGAAAGAGATGATAGAAGCTTAGGGTTTCTTGAATTTTGGGTAAAAACATATATGAGAGGTTGCCTAAAATTTTGTTTTTTTCCTTCTTTGTAATTTGTTTATTTATTTATAAAAAATATATGAATATGTGTAGTTTGGTAATTTTATCATGGATCCCATCATAAACGGGGCTCTATTTTGATAAATCTGTAAATTTTAGAGTTTTCAGAAATTTATGTAATTAGGTGCCTAGAAATAGTCTAGTTATGTTGTTATCCCTAAAACTTATTTATAAATTTAAAATACTGAATTTTATAATTAATATTGACTAAGTTAATTAATATGAAATTTGTTCTAGTAAAGTAGCGAAACTAGCTAGTCATGAAAGTTTCTTTGAGAAAGCTAAATTTAGGTAATTGAATCTTAATTTTAGTTACTTTGAATGTTATTAGGAAACTTTAACAATTTGCCTTTAATTTTCGAAGTTCAAGTAAGTGGCTTCTATCACGAGTTCTGCTTGTACGTTTTGTTTTATTGTTTTATTGATTGCAAGTGAATTATATGGAAAATTTCTTCCTACTTTTCCATGTGCTGCTTGCCACGCTAGCATCATATTGAAAATGATATGGGGTCAACCAACATTAAAAAATTATATATGAAGGCAAAACCATAGTGTGAACATGGGAGTATGATACTAGCGTAGTATTGGAGTTTTTCTCTGAATTCTATTATAAGCTACCAAATTGTTCGTTATTGAGTTGTGTTATTTATGTTGCTTCAATATATTTTTTATTGAATCATTGTTTTGATTATATTTGATGTATTGTATAAAGTATGTTACAACTATATGGTTTATTATCATTAGGTATGTTCAATAACAAAACATACTTATATCAAACACAAAACAATGTGTGACATATTACATTCCTAACTAAGTTAGCAGTCTTGTGTGTTATAGATTGAGGTAAGAATAGTGCTATGCATGGAAATACCCATATATCAAGCCGTTGTTATATTATGCAACTCGATGTATGCATGATATGACACATGGTGTAAGGAACATAACTGACTCGAAAAATTGACTCTCGAAGCGGTTCAGTTCAGGTCAGTTCGGGTTTGATAATTGTAGAGTTAGTTCGGTTTTATCCCAATAAAACCGAAGAATTTTGTTTTTTTACCATAGCTTTGTGTTGTGTGATGTTACCCCTCCCTCCTTCTCCCCCTCTTACTGTCTCTGTATTGCGTGTTGTTACCCTTTTATCCGTCTCACCCTATCTCTACCTTTCAACGACAGACATCTTGTTGGGCGAAATTTAAGTCGTTGTCAAAAGTTCCCCAAAATCCCCAAATCCCCATCTGTTTTTCATTTCGTCCCGATTTCATAACACCCCCCCACACATCGTTCGCTCCGTCGACCTTGCCATCCTCCTTCCTTAGCCGCGGCCGCCCG